CTTTGTGTGATTCACGAGGAGAAACAAGATAAAGATATCTGACTTTCAGATTAAATTCAAATCACGACTGCTGCTCTTTCTCACATTCCACCTCCACAAAAAGATTTGATCAAGTGCATTATTCTACCTCAGAACAAAAAGGAGGAGGAACACGGGACACATAAGATATGATAATAATGCCCAAAAAAAGTGAGGCAGGAGGAATTTCAACAAGGCGAAATGCACAGTGACTATTTTAGGCTCTCTTCTGAGACTTCACATACTGAAACACTGCGTGGGAAGGCTGTAGCCTTACTTCCACATCCTTTCATTCACACTCTTTTCTAGTTTTAAGTGAAAAAAGGAGGCAGAAATATCAAACAGTCACGACTTGGATTTTTAGAAATGTACAGGAAACCAGAGCTAGGAACTTGCAGTTTGTTACATTCCTATATTAAAATAAAGTTCTAAAGAATTGCAAAATGTTTACAAAAATCCCTCAACTAGGAACTCTTTATAATGATTTTAAAACAGGGTTGATTATGCCCTAAAGTGCCTCCACTACCACATTAGTAATTTACAAACATTATTAATATATGTATCTGATTAGCAATCAATTAACCTTAAATGAGGTGAAGGATTTTGCTTGTTGTTAGCTGTCAGTCAAGATCCATTATAAGATAACATGTTTCTCTGAATAACAAGAGCAAATGACTTAACCTCTTCCTTGACAAATCCAGTATCATAATATTTAACACCATGGTTACAGGCTGCCTGCCAAATCATCATGCTGTGCAGCACACTTGCCCCTGAAAAGAATTATAACAGATGAAAAGTCTAAATATAGGCATGGAAAAGAAAATTCTTTAAATGTAAACGTAAGCATAGCAAATCACTTGGTGTTTAAGAAAGTAGAGCACATTTTTCCCTGCATCTCACAGCTCTGAAAGTTACACTTCTACACTGTACACTTCAGACATTTGTGTCGTGCGGAGTTATCTTTAAAACTCAGCAAAACTGCTTGAGGTGCGAGAAATTTGCATTTATTTGCGAATCTTTGAAATCCTAGAGATGTGTGAAAATTAATTAGGTCACAATACTGCAAAAAACAAGTTCAACAATTTTAAACCAGGGTGCACAAACAAAATAGAATGCCAGCAACAACCTGAGAATATGCTACAATATAGACACACTATTCCAAGATGTCGTAAGTTACATAGTTGGTCTAACCAGTTAATAAATGTCTCTAAGTGGATTTTTAGGTAACTATACCTTTAACTAAGTGAATGTTTTGAGTTAAACACTAGAAATGACCACCGGAAACATACTATATATATATGATCTTATTTGTAAGAAATGAAAACAGATAACTCCTTCTCTCCATAGCCCTGAATTGGATCACTTGGTTATAAAATGAATAGATCCAAAAACCCAGAATACACAAGGACCTCTAGGAATATAAACTATGACACCACTGCTCCACAGCTACAAATTTTGCTTTGATTTACTTTTGTAATGTAAGTTCAATGTTGATATTTTCAGATTACTTGGAAATTCCAGATGAGATAATTACAAAAGAGTTCTATGATCAGGCTATGAGGCTGGAGCTTTCACGTCCAAACTGTGACAAATGTATCTACACTGGGTGTAAATCTGTCTCCATGACAACCAGAGGAGGGTGAAAAGTCACAGCTCACTCCCTATATATAGTAATCAATAACCTTCTTGTAGCACCAGATGGAGGTTATAGTGGTGACGCTTTCATCAGTTGATTACAAGCTGAAAAAAGAACCGCACAGAATCAGACACTATCTGCAGTATGCAAAGCAATCTGTGTACTTCACTTGATTATATTGCCATATTAAGCCATGTACTGAGGTAAGCAGAGTGCCTAGCCAAGTCGTCAAATTGAGAAAACTTGTTACGTATTAATTTAAAAAATAAAACATTGAGTTCAAAATAATTTCTGAACTTGTCTTCCAATGAACATTCTGTAAACCCTTTCTACCATGTCCTTTGCAAAAGCACATTCCAGATCAGAAGGGTACACAGGTATAGAATTGTTGTGTCCTTGTTTCTAATGGACTAGTGTGAGATCATAGTACCCACAGTCAAGTTCAATAATTAATTGTTCCAAATTGGTATACATGAACTAACCTACTAGATCAGAGGCTTGAACAAAAACTGAAATGAATTTTTAGGTGCAATCAGGACTCCGATACACTTGTGATCAACAGTACAGAAATAATTTCTGGTAAGTCCACAGCTGCTTAGCTTTGTAAAGGAAATAAGTGTGTAAGTTCTTCATCTGGGCACAATCATACAATCCAGACTGTTTAAAGCCAGTCAAGTTGATAAAGGAATGTCTTGAGTGGAGACCAGAACAGGCTGCTTGGACTCCAGTGGTGATGAAAATGTCCACTGTGAGCTCACCCAGAATTCCATGAGAGTTTAAGACAGGACAGATCTTGAACTTGACACTTTTACTGAAGACTTACTGAAAACAAATAACTTTGGAAAATGCATTAATTTATTCAAAGGAACAAGTAATAGGTTTATTCCATGCTGAAAAAAAGAAGAAAGAGAACACAACGTTTCGGCCGTGGAGCCTTCTTCAGGTGTGCACACCTGAAGAAGGCTCCACGGCCGAAACGTTGTGTTCTCTTTCTTCTTTTTTTCAGCATGGAATAAACCTATTACTTGTTCCTTTGCAGCCTACGCATGCTGACGCAGCTACCCACCTTAATTTATTCAAGCCCATCACATTCAATAATGAGACTGGACAGCTCACCAGTGTGATGATGAGTCTGTGACCTGAATCATGAGCGCTAGAAATAATTCAAAATCCACATCAACCTATTAATAAAATGACCATTTGTAGTAGATTATAAGAAATGGTATCAAACAGATTTTAAGCATTAGCAGACGATCTCCTCTTTTTCCAGCATGTTTCAAAACCAAATCTTTCAACACATCTCCCTGGAGTGCAGGCCTTGTTGACAATTATAATTGTGAGAAAATTTCATCTTATATTGCGACATAAGTAACCTGCTGTTTTTTATAATTATGAGCCAATGTAACTAAAAATGTGGTATCTATTTTCCTGGTGAACAGAAAGATGGCTAAAATTTAACGGATTCCTTCTGCGCTCAAGAGCTCCGAGAACAACAGAGCTCAGTAAGTAAAAACAGGATGAGGTGACAGGTAACCACATGACAGCCAGTAACAGGCATCATTTTGTCTGGCTCACGTTTTTTTTTCCCCCCTACAGGAGCAAAACTGAGTCAGCCATTGGAAAACAGAAGAGAAAAGAAAGAAGGGGAGAAAAACACATTTCTCCATATGATAAACGCATTTTCAGGTGCAACACAGCTCGTCAAGAGGTCTTTCAACAAGAAGCAGAGTGCAAAATAAATTAAACAGCAGGCAGATGAATCTGAAAGCCATAATTCATACTACAGTAAGGAATACACAATTGGCTGTTGCTTAATTCCAGCAATAATCCTCTTAAGTACTTTTCAGAAGCCTATGCAACCACAAAGGAGTTAGAAGAGTGTGTTGGATGGGTAAATAGGAAAGTCAGAAAGCTGCATTTAGCCTTAATGCAACATTTATTTAGTGCCTTAAATATTCACCCTCCCCCTTGTACTACGTATACATGTATGTTGATAGCATGGCCACAATTCTACAATTTTAAATGAAAAACATACTGTACAACAGGGCAATCTGAGATTAAAAGTCTAACTGATTTATTCAAAGCACAAAAACAGAAACACAAAAGCTGCCTTGATTTAACTGTCAACAAGAAGTATGGCCTCTCATAATACAAGTGTCACAGTAAATACTCATTTTTACCAGTCTATGTGACAAATTAATGGATCCCAATAAAAATGATTCCAGTTTAATTCTCACTAGTTTTCATCTGGAGCACCTGGTAAATATTATATTACATTTTATAATTAATTTAAACTAGCATTTGCAGTATATAGTGCTTTTAATCACATTCCAGAGTATTTCACATACTGGACAGAAACCCCTTTATCCACCACTGATATGCAGTTCCAACCTGGGTGACATACTGCAGCCATTACACACTGGCAGTAGTACGTCAGATCAGGGAGAAATTACTTCACTATCTGAATTATGGGGGAACTTCAGATTCAAATCCACAGATTTCAGCCTGAATGCCAATGTTAACACCTCTAATTTTATAAACAGTGCCATGGCATCTTTAATAATCCAGTGGTCAATCCTTACGTTTCACCTCATCTAAAGGATAACACCTCCTGGAGCAATATCTCCTGTCCCTGTACTGGGGCACTGCTTTGGTTCCAGCCTTGCTTAGCTTGTGAGATCAGTTAGAAAATGGTGACACTGTTATCCATTATAATGTAATACAATGTACATTACTCTTTTGGAGCTCCAGTTATAGAAATTTTCACTCAAGGCTAAGTCCAGTTGAGTCGAATAGTCTAAAATGTCTACATAAACAATATGTCCATATTATTTTACAGTTTGTTCTTGTTTCTCCAAATCTCTAGCACAACCGTTCAGACCCATGTCTAAAAACTGAGTTATCCTTAAAGTAAAAAACAAATGGTTTTAAAAACAATACTGTATGTCAAATATTTTGACTCTGACCTGTATGTGGACAGTTTTCAGATTTCTTTCCTTTCAGTTTTCAGTTTATGCTTTACAATTTTCTGTTGTTTCTTTTTGCATTTCCCCAGGGAATGTTGTATCTTTCAAAATTTCCACATGAAGTGCTTGAAATAAATTCTTTTTGAAGATAATGAGCCTTATGGAATCAAATAGTTTTGCTTATTGAGATGAAAGAAGCTTATGTTCCCCTTTTCACACAATGCAATGCTATGTATATCCATTAAAAATGTTTTAAAACACCAAATGCATCCCACACCCGTGAAAATAAGCATTTAAAGCACATTCACAGCTTTAACATATGAACAGAAAGAAGTCCAACCTGTAAGAACACAGGAAGGCAGAGTAGAGAGTAGTCATACCTGCTTCCCATCGAGTGTGTACAGCTTCTTGACCACACCAGAGTCAAGTTTGATGGCGTCGGTGATGTCAGTCAACACCTGCTCAAAGGAGTGTGCAGTCTTCTTGTTGAGGAGGATGCGGACGGCTTTGCGTGGCTTGACCCCGCTGCGGATGATGGTGACCAGTTTGGGGCGGATGAAGTCTTTGCTCTCCTTTGCTTCAGTGGGGCTAGCTTTGGCAATACCCAGGGCCGGAGGTGGCCGGGCGGAAGCCACAGTCTTGACGTTGACAGACCAGTTGGGGTTCACGTTTTTCGTGTACTCTAGTTTCTTGAAGGGCTCTATCGATCCGCACACATAGCTTTCACCTGCAGAGGAAGCCAAAGGAGATCACTGTTGATTGGGACACTGCAGGGTTTCTCCTTTGAACCCAGGGCCCCAGCACTGCAAGGCAGCAATGCTAACGACTGTACCACCATGCCGCTTCTACTGTATTGTTACAAAAGGGGGTTATGATAATGGAGAAAATCAGGAATGGACCGTGTGGTTTAATCAATAACTAAATTAAACTATTATAACCCCCAACTTGTAAGGATTTCTCCACGAATATACCAGAGCAGTTGGTATAGTTAGAGGCACATTAATTTTATTCTATAGCACAGTTTTGATGAACAGAGCAATAATTCAGGCACACTTGGTTTAAACAAATAATTATTAACTGAATATACAACATACAACATACAACATACTTGTTTTCCTATGTACAGTACACATTTACAGACGAGGTGTTTCAGAGACCTACAGTACAGTACGTGTAGACCACCAAAACCTCCAGTCTGCCACTAAGTATTAAACTCTTAATTAATGTCTGCAGAAGCCAAAATTGCCAGCAGCCATATCACCCTGCAACTCACAACTGGCAACTCACTGAAGCTAAGCAGGTGTGAGCCTGGTCAGTACCTGGATGGGAGACCCTTCTGGGAAAACCTGCTGAAAGAGGTGTTAGTGGTGCTCACTCTGTGGTCTGTGTTGACATCCTAATGCCCCAGTATACTGTTAGGGACACTACACTGTAAAAAGATGCCGTCCTTCAGATGAAACATAAAATCAACGTCCTGACTCTCTGTGGTCATTAAAAAATCCCAGGGTATTTCTCGAAAAGAGTAAGGGTTTTACCCTGGCTCCCTGGCCAAATTTCCCATTGGCCTTTAATAATCCCCATCTATGAATTGGCTTCATAACTCTGTTCTCCTCCCCAATAAAAGCTGATGTGTGGCGAGTGCTCTGGCACATTCAGGTGGATGCTGCACATTGGTGGTGGTGAAGGGGAGTCACCATTACCTGTAAAGAGCTTTGAGTGGAGTGTCCAAAATTATTATTATTAAAATAGTAGAGAAGGCAGCTTATCACTTAAATAGAATAGAGTCTATGATTAAATCTCTCTCTGCAAACCCAGATGCCACAAAACAAATGGGACTATCTCCCTATTCCAAAATGCACCCAATAAGCAGAAGAGGGTGTTTAAAACTCCAAGTTCCCTAAAAGCTACAGAATAGGAAGCTCTCTTGGCAAGGTTCAAAAACATAGCTCCAATCGGGTCGGATCTCAACCAAGGACCTCTTGCCTGGCACGTCTTTTCCTCTCTCCTCCCTCTCTCGTGGTGTCTTCCTTCTGTCCTCTCTTTTATCCCACACTTTTGACACTTAATTATTTACCCAGAACTTAATTACATAAGGTAAACCTTGGTAGTAGGATTGCCCTGATCACAGACTCTGGACCCCTACATATCAGCAAACATCACTTTTGCTTTGAAGCTGGAAATGTTTACACTGCCTGGTGTTTCACACTTTATCTAAACTCTTAGAGACCAACAGTATAACAGTAGTCACCTGTAACAGTATGTACAAAAAATATAATACCCCACAAAGTCTACCCTTTGTTAATCGAGGCACGATACATTATACATTACAAGATTCACATGACTTGTCACCTCATGCTGACGGAGATTGAGGCAAGTTTAGTCAAGTTAAACTCCAATTTGTTTTTGTTTTTTTCAGGGCCTATAATACTGTTGTCTCTCCGGATGCCTTATAAAACCTGTTATATAAAGGAATTAAGTGTCCGAGTCCATTAGGGCAATAAAAACAATGACCAGCTCTGTCAGGAATTCTGCCTTAGTCCACTCCTAGAGCCTGTGTAAACACTTATGTATTCACTGGTCTCCGAGCTCCTGGTACTACATCCTAGCTCAATCTACTGTAGTAATGTTCAAAGTAACATGGCAATGTGCACTGACCACAGGAAGAGAAGCAAGTAAGATTCCAGTACTTGATAAAGATGGTAACATGCAAACATTCTACCACTGTGCACTTTTTGCAACCTGAAGAGGCCCCAATCTTGGTGACATATCATGATTTGAAATCTGCCAGATCAAAATCTTACCTCTAAACATTGAACTCTCTCACTAATGAGATGATTTGAGTCAATGCAAAATTCAATGAAGTATTTTTGATATTCTTTGGGGTGATGAAAATGTATAGTGTAGAAACATCAGACCATTATGTATTAAACACAGTAGAAACATACAATTTGTGACCATTCATAGACTAAGGCCAAATACTTCAGTGTGAGTATGACAGGCACACCAAGCCTCTACATTGCATAACTTCCTGATCTTAATATAGCTCTTGATGCACTAAGAAGGATAAGAGCTGTATTTTAACTTAGCACTTACTCAACAATCTCCAGTATGATTAGTGAGTAAAAATGCCTAATAAAGCAATACTGTTGTGAACAATTAAGCACTGGGAGAAATTACAGCCAACAGCCAATATGTTATAAGTATAATGAAATATCAAATACTAGTTTGATATGTAGAAGGTGCATCAACTATCCATGGGTTTGTGTAATTTTTATCATGACATTTAAAAAAAATTCCACTGATGTGTTTTTGGTACACTAAGCAGTAGCCATGGCACTTTCCAAAAATGAGGTACCTAACCACGCCTTTTGAGTTGCATATCGGCCAAAAGTGCAAAAGGTTGTTCTACCGGCACACTCTTAATTTCAATCTTCCAGTCAACCTTCCTTTACACACAGGGTCACACTTGTGCCTCAAAAGCAGTTTTATACAAACTGAAAATGCCATTTCAGAACAAATTATACCATTTGCTCATTTTCGTTAAATAGATATTGTAAATCTCTTACCCCTTTGAAAGAAAAAAAAAAGAGATAAAACACCCTCACAACATTAATTATTCTCTAAACTCAATTAAACAGTTGAAACAGTGGAAATGAACTGTCAAAAAACAATCATTACATCACAGGCTGCAGCACAAAGGTTAATTGTTCATTAATCATTAATGAAATGCCCTATTTTAATTTAGATACTCGTCAGTACATAATGTTACATTTTTAGCACAATTTACTTCAAGGTCATCTTGGTGAGGCAGACCGAGAACCCATTTATAAAACGGGTTACAATTTGGATATTAGATATTCAAGACAAATTCTTAATTCTGTGATTTTGTACTGTATATACTGTACAGTATATTGCTTCACTCAACAAAGAGAAATTTAAGACTGCTGAAATAATTTATTTTTTAGAATCGGTTTTTAAAGTAGGTTTGCGCAATTATTACACACATCACATTTTTCACCATGACTGAAGATTAGAAACAGCTATAAACAACTGACAGTCATTACGCAAAGTTATTTACGCCTTAGTGTTCAGCGGTAAATAACACAACTCTACAGTCACTACCAGACTGCATCGATATCTTCTGCTCTAATTGAGACTTCAAGTGAGGACAATTTTTCTTATTTATATAAGCTGTTATGGCCATAGTCTGGGATCTAAGCTTCTATGCTCCATGAAGCATGCTTAAAACACATTTCCTGCTTTAAACTTGATGAATGCCATCAATACATCAACAATCAAAGTATTTTAAATTAAAATTAAACCATGTAAATGCACTTCTGTAGGTAACACCATCTATTACATCCAATAGACCATTAGAGAGGCCCTGAACTTAGTGCTTTTTACAGTGGAATTAAAAGGCAATGTGATCTGCCATGTGCTGTTATGCTGTCTAAAAGTTCAGCTCCTTATGCCTCTAGAGAGTATGAAATCAGAGGGTAATATATTAAAAGATATTCATTACTTAAGGATAGGGGTTTCATTCTGCCAAATTAAATTTCTGACTTCTCCCACCATATTTTCCATTGTCTGAACTGAGCTTACCTTGAGGGGAAATAAAACCCAGCTGTCCTGGCCTATTCCTGTTACCCTACATAATAATCTGCTAGTTTAAATACAATCTTATCTTACATGCCACTAAAAAACTGACTTGTCGTATGACTCATCATAATTATTTGTGTTGAACTTTAAGCACTAAAAAAATGAACTAACAGTTAGTTCTGAGAAATTTCTCAACATAATGCAAATCAGTGCCCTCACACCTCAAGCCATTAAGCAGACAGAAGGCCTATGTTTAAATGGAATTTCCAATCTTTTGACATACGGACGCAGTTCAGAATCACCAGCTGCCTAAAATGAGATTCTACATTTATGACTTTGGAACGGAGAATGAGAAGCAGCATTGTCCACCCATCAGACCCATTCAACGTTTGATGCGCTGCTAGTTTCACAGCCCTTCCCATGAGAACCGGCACCGAATGGAGGAGATGCTCATTTCTCACGGACGTCACTGATGGCCTGCAGTGCAGACACCGGGCAAGTGACAAGAATTGTTGTTTTGCCAAAAGCTGAAAGAACTTGTGCCCGTCTCATGTCGGGAGAGGCTCTGGCACCCCTGTGGTCGTGAAAGGAAGAGGAGCCTAAAAAAATGGATGGATGCATGAAAGACCCCAGGCAGAACCAGAATAATGTGTGCCCTAAGGCTGAATCAACACTCCAAGCAAGGGCCTATAATGGTTGAGCAACCCAGAGAGCTCAGGATAAAATAACTTTTAAATTACACATTGAGAAAAGACTTGCTCTATGCCTCTGATGTTGAATGAAAAGTAAAGTCTTCACACTGCCAGGAAACTGATAAGTCAGATTATGCTTTAGAGACATAATGGAGATCATAATGGAGACAATATTTGCGGTGACATCGCATCCTTAATGGACACAGATGGCTTCTGATTTTTTATCAGAATTTTTTTAAGTTTTAAATATCAAACAAAAACATAGAGGTCACTAGAAAATAAAGGAGGCTAACTCTTTCTAACTAGTTCTGTACATGTGAAGAATTAGTGACCATGCTGCCAGTTTTTACACTGAATTTAACCCCCTCTCCAAGAAACAGCTTCTGCAATTGACTGTATTGGCAAAGTGCAAGTTCCCACTGCTCTCTGCTGTATGTACTGTAACATAATTGTATTGTGGTCCCAGAGGTTTATCATAAGCAGCGTTTATAAATGTACAGCAGAAACCCGTCTTCATATACAACATATATACATACTGTACTATATAATTCTCAGTTATTGGGAAAGTTGATTATTTCCATCCAGGTTTAGGCTTTGTAGTTACAATCAACTAATAAAACTAATAAGAACAGGACTGAACTTCTCCAGGTTGCCTATAAGACTTTTAAGAGCATTTAAGGAAGACTGCAAAATGGAACAGGCCAGTTTTGCTCAGCATTCATTTGCTTGCTATTACATTCAAGATCGAAGAACCTCATTATGTCACACACAACTGACTATTCCAAATCCGTGGAGGTAAAAAAAAAAAATTAAGACTTAATTTTCTAACCACTTAATTGCAGAGGAGCCGGAACCTAACCCAACAAACAACAGGCACAAGGCAGAGTGCACCCTGGATGGGATGACAGTCCACTGCAAGGGCACACTCAGACACGCACACACTCACACCAGGGCCAATTTTCCCAGAAGCCACATAACCTACCTGTATGTCTTTGGACTGTGGGCGATAACCAGGACACCCAGAGGAATCCCAAGTGAACACAGGGAGAATAATTAGCAATTCTAAATTAATAAAAATATACCCATTTCCCGATTCCTGTTGATGTAAAAAGATGCGTTCAAATGTGCTGTGTGATCCAGCCACCTCATAAAATATGAATTACCATCGCTTGGGTTTAGTGAGGCTTCTGTAACTCCTACGATACCGATACCATATTTATGGTATATGCCAACAGAGAAATTTGAAGTTCCTTCATTTTTTTTATAAAACACACTTACAGATATGCTTACCTGAATTAAAAACAAACCAGAAACGTGTAGTGTTCAAATCTGGTAACTTCAGTCAAGAATGTGTGAAGTTCAAAGACATGCCAGTTCACAGAGTCACAACCCAAAATATGTCCAGTAACCAAAGGCACTCACTGTTTTGAAATTTATTTGAATTTCGTTCAAATGAATCAGTCAAAAACACACAAAACAGATTGAACATATCAAGTGTCTACTGGTTAAAATCTACAGGTTAAATGTAGACAAATATTCCTAAAAATGGTTGCTTGGTGTTGTAGATAAAACATTATTTGTGAAGATAACTATCAAAGACAATAGACAACAACATGGGGATCAGAAAGCATAATCACTTAAATTCTCTTAGTGAGGAGTGGGGATTTAAGTGCATGTTATAGGACCAGATAATACATTATAATAGTCTGATGAGCACTTCTGCTGCAAAATAATTGTTAAATAAGAGTTAATTTTATTTTTTCTGAGTCCCAATCACTGGAAAACATTGCCCTCACTTTTTGTCCCAGAAAAGAAAAAACAAACAAACCTGTTTGAGCTCCAGAGTTTTTGATACTTTGATTAATTTGTTTTGTAATGAAGTTCTCTTTCACAGTGACATTCTCTGCTTAGTGGACCTCCAAAAAGGATTTAAAGAAAACACACTCATATCAGAAAGAAAACTCTAAAAAAGAATAGGTGAAAGACCTACAGTACTTGGAACAACAGTAATACATTTCGTGAAAGGCAGATCTTGTCTTATATTGTTTGTCTCCTGTTACACAAACCCATTTGGAAGCAAAGTGTTGTCTTACCTTCAACTAACTGGTCCAACGAGGTGATCTTTCTGGTACCATCTATTGTGTAGATGGTTCTGACTCCCTGCGGCAAATTAACATTATCAGACAGAGTCCGAGTAAGGTCAGCTAAAAGTGCCTCGAAGGATCTAAACCTGTCCGGTGAGATGGCATATACGATTCCCTTGAAATATCGGTCTCCGTTGCGGTAAAAGCGAACCTTCTTTGCCCTTTTCTCGGAGCTGAGGGCTTGGAGGGTGCGGGTTCTGTACAGGCTACAGTGCGCGCTATGGGTAGGGCTTGGCAAACCGTTGGCCCGCGAGCTTCCTCGGTTGTACCTTTGTGCTTTATCTCTCTCATCAAAATGCTCCAACTCCATGTCTCTCCCTTGGGACATTTTTCAATGATTTATGACCTGGGGAAGAGAGCAGGGGGGAAAAAAGTACCTAATTGTTAACATTTCAGGAGGAAAAAATGCGCAATCATCTGTGAGCACATCTACTGCGCGCAATCAATAATGAGGGTGCCAGGTGTTAAATCAATCCCCAATGCTATTACGCAAATAACTGAACCTAGCTCTTCTGTGAACCGACCATTGATATTAAAGAAAATAACTTTCTAATTACAGATTAAATTGCTGTTATTCCCGGTGTTACTACGATCCCCAATTTACCATAGCTGTCTTAATTGCTCACTATAGTATTTTCTGCACACAAGCTGATATGCAAATACACTTGTACTTGAGAACAACAAATATCTGTTAAAATGAAAGGAACAAGGGAACAGGAAATGTTGTATGCATAATACGTTTTCAGTTCTAATACCCTTACTTGTTACACGAGCTTTGTATAAATTACAGGGGCAGCCTGTGTGTTTTCAAAGGTGTGTTTGTCTAATTTCTAATCCATTTAGACAATAAAACAAAGAGGACAGATGTTTCCGTTATTTATACAAAACATCCCAAGTAACACTGATGTAATGAAATGATGTAACGAAAGAAAAAAGCAGGAATATGAATGGCCGTTTATATTTACAAAATATAAATGTATTCAATGAAATCTTTGGAATTGCAGACGATTAAATTGTATACCTCTTGTATGGAATAACACATAAATAGCCGGTGCTTTCTCATGCAGACATGCACTTTTTCAAAGCCATTAAAGAACAGGCACGGTGACAAATGTACAGTAGCAATTCACTGAATATTAAATTACAGGCACGTATTGTTTCACGATACAATCTTAGCAAATTATGAGTGTACTTTCCTCGGCGTGTTGACTTACCTTCAAGTGGCTACGGGTGCGGATGAGTCTTCGTCAAGATACGTCTCCTAAGATGCTGAATAACTTAATTTTAATACTGTCTTTTATTTATATGTGTTGTATCAGTAAATTCTGCAGCGTAAACCTGAACCTCTTTGTTGTCTTCTCGTACCCTGCCTGTGTGTGTGATGAGGGACTCTGGGTAGCAGCTGCTTTCTTCTGCTGCCGTGTTATTGCAGTGATTTGCATTGGTCCGTCCCTCATTGAAATGCAGCCCCTCAACGCAGCCTTCCATCATGCACATACCCTCCCCACCTCTCTCGCGTTGGGCTCCTGTAACAGAGCTGAAATCTGCTTAGTGTATTTTACAACTGCTTTGCCAAATTCGGAATGGGTACGTGTATATATATATACTGTACACATGCAACAACCGCAAAACATTCAATTGCTGTAACATTTCGATACCTCTATGATTTGTCTGTAATAGAACCTTTCTGCACACACAAGTATAACCAGTATATATACCTACAGAACACTTCTGAAGATTCAAATTTTAATGTGAAATTCTTAAAAATGTAAAGATTTGGATTTAAATCGCTAATCACTAAGTAGGACATACAGTCTTCAAAGATCTAGGAAAAGATTTGTTTTGCTCTTTTAACACAGAAGTTTTGAGACATTTATGCCTCTATAAAACAAATAAATGTTTAATACCAACAAAGATTCATTCAGTCATAAGGTGGGCTTTTTTTTTCCTGTATTCCTTTAATGTTTGGAGATAAGGAGTAAGAAATGCTGGGGTTTAAAAGCCCCCCCTTAATTGAAATGGTTCAGGCCATCAAATCCAGAGGGGTGTATCAATGTTTGTGGCCTGTTAGAGTATCTGTACTAGAATAAAGCCATTCCCTACTGTACAAATGACTGCAAATTCACAATCCTAGAATTCTAGCCTTGTGGAAAGATTCAGCTGTTATCTCTTTTATTTGGCGTGAAACACCCTCAGTGGGGAAGGTATCTCTGTGCTTTGTACTGTAAGTATAATTACAATGGTTGTGTGGCCGAGCAGTCAGTCAATACAATTAAAGATGAAAATCTCACCTCTAGGCTGAGCACTGCCTGAAGATTTCAACAGTCTAACGGGTCCCTGAGCATTGCTAAGGAGCACATGTGCAGAGTAGCTTCACTTAGAACATATTTGGCATTTGTCTACATTTTTAGAAACAGTCTTGAGACACTGATGAAAGAAGGCACAGTGTACTTTTCCAGCAGACCCTACTGCTTTGCATTTACGTCATTAGTGTAGGCTAACATCTTTCAGGTCAGTCCCTTCTGGGATTGCAGAAAAATTGCCTTCTTATGGGATCATATCATTCAATTCTGTGTAAAAAGAAGTTCTATGCTGACCATTAAAATTTGAAAAGGATCCTTTGAAACCTAATATTTATTATTTGCTTCATATTTATCCAGGGGAACTTACAGTATATAGGTGCAATAGGATAACAGCACAATTAAAATACAATACTGGTCAGCAGAATAGCTATAATATACTGAGATGCGATAAAAACCTACAGTACCAGATGAATATTGGAACTTTGCCAAACAGTACTGTATATCACAGCTCAAGTTAAACATACATCAGAAGTAAAAATAGAAAATTGAAGGTGACAATGCTGATTAGTAGTACTGTAAATAAGAATCGTGATGAATAGGATTGTCTTTAGGAGGTAAATCAAATGTTTTTGGCCTTCAAAGCTCTTCAAGATACACTTTCAAGAATATACCAGAAATATGTGTAAGGAGGCTGTATCTACTCTAAACATGTGCTTCAGCAGACAAGCCTACTGTAATTTTCTAGCATGGCACTACTTTTAAAAATTACCTACATCAAAATTGTTTAGTTGAAGCTTTACAAGCTGAGGTTCAGATTGCATGTCAAGTACAGTCTGACTCACCGCTTGACAGTACTACTTGAATTACAATGGAACAATCAGGACCCTTACCATTTGCGACCAGTTATATTTGCATTATGCAAGGTGAACATGAGGGGTCAACATGGAGAGTTCAGGTCTCCTTTCAAAGTCCAGACTCTGTCTGAATATACTATACAGCACCTTCCAGTTCACTCTGCATAATGACTTGAGGATTTTGACCTTTTAAACAGAGTATTTATCTCAGTTGTCTGACAGGTCCAGCTTTTAAGTATTGCTCTAGCCATGAGAGGAACTGATGATTTTTTAACCTTTTCTATAAATGCTATTTCAAATTGCACTGTGAAATAAAGACAGCAGCAAGATTGTCATTTCCAGTAAATGGCACTGACAGCCCAAGAAAGGAAAGCGTTTGCATTTTACCCCCCAGCAAGTAAGCAAATTAATTAATCATACTAAATACATCACATTAATTATAAATAGCTGTTGGTCTCATACTGCAGGGCACCGGGGTGATGTAAGTGTCTTCTAGATGGCTGCGATGGTGCTGAAATGTTAAGTAAGGTCTGATTCTATGCCTGTGATGTAACAAGCCAAGACAGACAAAAACTAAAAAATTTAGAACTCTAATTACAAGAGTCTCAAGTGAAAACAATATTTGCACTTCAACTCTGCATTAAATTGACATTTGATTGCAATAGTGGATCAAATTTAGCTCTTACAAAGTATTTTAATTTACATACATTTCTCCATTTTATTCTAAGCATACAGTATCAAGCTAGCAAAGTGAACCAATAAATGGGTTGTCATAGATCAGGGATAGTCACAACTATAGGCCTGGTATACAATTGACTCATTTAGCCAAAACATCCTGGGTACCATGGCCTATGCATCTCTCAGGCTGTTTCAAAGTAGTCAGATCAAAATAATAAACCAGTGACCCAAAGCTGTGTTTCCCGATCTGCGGCTCGGAATACCTGACTAATTTGGTTTTTACTATAACTGAGTTGTATTAGTTTTGATCATAAAGGTCTGACATAGATCTTGGTGTTTGAAGTTTTAGTTCTTAATGAACAACAAAGAATATAAATTAGCATGCAAACCTCTGCCAGGTGATGCATTTCAGCTCTCCTCTCACATAGGTTTATTGTTTTAATGACTTTATACTAGATTTAACCAAGTGTGTCCATGCAGTCTTTAGTCACCAGTGTTATATGCTGCCAGTAATATTTCTGCTTACTTGCATAGACCTTTCTTTGCTCAGGCCTTAGTTTCAGAAATACTCCAGTTCAATGGTTCTCAATTCTGGTCCTGGGTAACACCTGTCTTTTCTGTTTTTTCCAATCCAGTCATCCCAGTTAACTTCAATTTTTATTTGGGCCCTATTTGGAAATTTGTTATCAGCTCTTAAGAAGCTGATTGAGACTTGAAGTGGCACGATTCCTTTGCCAATTAGTGATGTTCAGGACTGCCCTCATTCAGATATGCTAGCTGAAGTACTGTGTAACCAATTGCACTTCAACAGAAAACAGCACTGACTCACTGTGTCATTCCCACCTGTGTCTGCTGATCATCAACTGATCAGTTAGTAAGATCTGGTTAGTCAGAAATAAAGAAGGAATTCTTAATTAGCAAGTTGTTACCCAACACTTAACTAGAGTATTTTTTACATATGTGCATAAACAAGTGTAAACCATCAGTGCACATTAGTTACAGGCAGTAATCAACACTGACAATTAAGAGCATTTACCAATAGCGACCTATACCAATTTCTGAATTTTAGAATTCGCCTCATTTAGTGTGTTAGAGGAAAGGTAGCTAACTGGACCTCTGTAGAAAGATGAAAAAGCAATGTGGGAAGTTTTGTTGTTTGATTTTTAGATTAAAATACTCTGATTAGACAGAAAGGAGGGAGAAAACTCTTAATAAACAGAGACTACATAGAGTTCTACATAGTGAAGTTGATGCAACAATATGCTTGAAGTTGGGCATTTCTGAAACTGAATGCAAAAGGAGGCAAAGCAAAGCACATGGATTAATTAAAGATACTGTATGAATTAGATGTGGTGATTAACTGAGGCTCTGTTTGAACAAAAAACGGCAGGCACAAGCCCCCCCCCAAAACCAAGGTTGGGAGACTGTTCTATAACAACCAGTTCAGTTGCATCCCTTTGATTGATGAGACTCCAGGTTATTATCCATGTATTCAAGCTGTGGGCAAGCCGCCCACTTCAAAGTAAAATAATTGAAAACTGCACACAGCCAAAACATTGTCCCACTACTTTAGGTCCACTAGAGCCAAAAGACAAAGGGCGGTTTTTACCATAAATCAATAAGCAACAGATTTACATCAAAATAAAAACAGTAGTTAAGCTATAAATTACAGAAATGTAACTTACTAGAGCATTTTAAGTAAAGGAGACAGTGCAAGCAATTCTATTCCTCTGTATATAGGGGTATGGGACAGTTCAGTGGCGTATAAACTAATCTGAGAAAACTAGCTCAAAACCATACTATGTAAAATAGCTCTAAAAACCTGGGGCAGTTTGTTATATTTCATTCAAAATTATATCTTCTTTGTCATGTTCTTTAATTTCTTTTTTTGTACTGTATAAAGGGAAATGTGCCCTAGAAAAACGGCATACTGAATTAATGTATATCTTTGCCAAAGCACAAGATAAACAGCACTCAAATACCTACCTCTTGCTAGAATTAAATTTTGTAATTTGGCACTTAAACTTCAGAAATACAGTATAGGGCTTTAATGACTTTGTTTCATAGAGACACTATTAGAGCAGACCATTTGCAATACTAAATGTCTCTAAAAAGACTCATTTATTTTCTATCATTTAAAATTGATACAGTTTACAGTTCCAATTTTAAGAATGACTAACAAAAAGCAGATTTGGTAACAGGAACAGGAAACGTTTATTCATTTTCAAAAGTATGCAGTTGTGACACTGTTTATTGGAGGCTTCTGAAACAAAACAAAAATGATCTCGGAACGAAGGTGTGCTGACAAAGAGGCTGGCAGGCTTGCAAATGAGAAGAAATTGCCTCCTTATGCTAAGTTGTGGTGCTTGAGTTGCTACTGAACAGCCTCTTTGAAGAGACTTGGAGCGTCTCTTGAAGACAAAGCTCAAACAAAAATGAAGAGCACAGAATGTAGACTACAGAATCCTGCCTTCTTGGAAGTCAAAGATTGGGCAGGCAAAGCCTGGGTCCTGACAAGCCTGAAAGGTTAATAAAAAAATCCACGCTCCTTAAACTCCTCACCTGATTAAATACTCAGAACAAAAGCCCATTGTCATCTATTTTCAGTCTGACTGATTCAGGTTATGTTTTGTTTTATTAATCCCAAGGAACTAGGTTGCAATTTCTGCATTTTGCAGAGCTGACAATAAGCCTGGAGAGGCATTATCATGTCATGTGTTTCCAATAGTAAATATTGCTAAACCTTGACTTGAATTTCATTTGATACAATAGTTCTCCTAATTCTTCCAATAAAATTTACATTTCTTTATAAAATATCAAAGCATGGTCCGTATGAACAATGGGCTTCTGCTCAGCCAGAATGTATGATTCTGGATGGTTCAAACTTAAAAAGTGGGAATTACCACACATTGTGGAAGCAAGGAATCACGACTTGTACTTATGTAACTACTACCCACACTGAAACTGCTGATTGAATATGGATGAAGGCTTTAGCTCTCTCCAGTTATATAGAGTACTTCAAATTTGTGGTTGCTTTTCATCAGTATTTCCCTAGGCAAATATACCCAGATTAATATTCATATTCAGAATGAATTACTAGTTGTGTGGGTACGACTGTTTTTATTCATGTCAGAGAATCCACTTGCAAAACAGCCTGTTCCATTATTGTTGCTATCTTTGGAACATTCCTGCTTTGCAAACTTTTACTTTAAGAGAGAACCCCATTATTAAGCCAATGTCCCATTATTCAGAATTACTTCTATTTTTACATAATGTAATGTAATTTTACACCATGTCAGACATATCCAATAGTAAATTATATATTGCTAAGCTTTGACTTGAATTGCATTTATACAACAGTTCTCCTAATTTTTCAAATAACATTTACAAAAGTATTTAATTATTAAAAAAGAAAACAATGTTTGTGTCATTATAACCTGCTGGAATTATAAATCATTCCCTACCACCACCTAGAATTTCCTTCAAGAAATGGCTGGATAAGTTACTTGGATCAATTAGCTGCTAACTATTGTACCAAATGAGCTCAATACACCATATGGCCTCCTCTCATTTTTAACTTTTCTTATGGACTTAAAAGGCCACAACATGCGTTTGTAAATCTCCCACATTTGGAATATTCCCTTTTAATTTTGCTTTGTTTCAGAATTTTAACAGTAATTAAAAAAATACTGAAATTCTACAATTCTGACTTGAAAATCTTCCATTTGCAAACCCTCGGATTCCTTACCAGTAAATCCTTTGAAACACATGGTGATCTACCCACTCATGAACTAAAAAAACAGATACTGCCTTCGTGAATAACCATTCACTCTTATGAAACCAGACTCTTTCAGTGCAATTCTTCCTAATGTGTTTTTCAGAAACCCAAACACTAGTAAAAAAGTTCCGATTGAACAGATTGTATTAGTTATTTTATGTATACAAAAAAAGAATGATACTGTACAGTAGTTTATACAGTACAGTAGTAGTAATTGCGACAATCTGGATTAAAGTAACTAAAAGTGGAGATAAAGATTGAAACAGATGTGACCTTAAGTACACATCATTATTGCAGGACTAAATCGTACAGAAGAGTGAAATCAACTTTAATTGGAAATATTCATTTTTGAAAGAGAAATCTGTCCATATTCTTTGATAAATTTCTCACCCCTCCTGGAGCTACAGTACACTTAATACAAAAAGCTCTAGTCTTGCTTAGTACAATGCTGACCATTCATCTATCTCAGAAAGAAAGCTGCTTAATTATGGTAAGGGTCACAATGTGCTGTCCAAGAAGAAGATTTAGGTATAAGGCAGAATTACTGCCTTGATGGGACACTAGTCCACCACCTGATCCACACGTGGACAACTTAAACACCCCCAATTAATTTATACAGCATGTCTATGAGTGACAAAATGAAACTGGAACATTCAGAGACACTAGGCGAACCTCACAAGGATGGTGCCTCAGAATCAAACTTAGAACTTCATTGAGTTCTTTACGGCAGCTTTATGGCAGCAGTGATAACTGCCACACCACCTTGGAGCCCAGAATATAAGTTTACTTAATGGCCCTTAAAGGCAAAAGAACAATAAAGTGACAAAACCCAATTTTTGTATGAGTAAACATATGGCTGACTGCAGCTATATTTTATTGCAACGAAAACATACCATCCTAATAAAAAATGTTAAATAATCATTGCATATACTATATATGAATACATAAAAATTCATAAATAAAGGGAAAACATAATAAAAGCTAGGAAGAAACAGATAAGTAATGAGAATAAGCACATATCTTGAGTTCTGCTTTTCAACAAGTCTCATTTGGAAAACTAACAATGTACTATTTCTTCTTTTTTTTCTTACTGCAGAGGATACATAAACAAAAATGTTACAATACAAATAAAATGGCAGACTGTATGGACAGGTTTTTCCCATACCATATAACTAGATTGTATTGTAATGGCATTCCGAGTTAGATTACAGGTTATTTTTCCAGTTACTCTCTTCAACACTTCTTTCCAATTTCAGTTGTCCTGGAAAGTCTGTACAAAATAATGCATGTAAAAATGTTATCAGTCTTAATGATAAACCATATATAAAAATGGATTCATTTTAAAATAAAAACTCATATCATCACAGCTGAGAAACAGCCATTCTGAGTTAACAACACTATGACTTCAATCTTAAGCCATGTCATTCCACAAATGTTTTTTTTTTACTTTTACCTTTAATTAACTTTAAAAAAATCATTGTAACTACCTTACAGTATGCATACTGTACATGGCCCTGGGAATTCCATGGAGACTTAATAACGACTGACAAATTCAACAGGTCAGAAATGACACGTAGCTACTGTATAGATAGCATTACTTTTGATATGGGACTAAAATAATGTCATACTACAATGAGCAATTACTTCTTAATTTACAATGAAGAGAAAGCTATTACATTTGCTCTACAATCTGTTAAGGGTCTTATATCCTTCATTTGTTTTACTTGTGTGGTGACATGTTGAATTAATCATTAACCACTACAAAAGTACCTAAATGAATTAAAACTAAACCATTGTTTTGTTCAAGCTTCAAAATGCTTTGAGATTTTCCTTACCACTGAGAAAATGAGAAAATGTAACTCCGGGGGAAGTTCTCACTTAAACGTACAAAAAAATGAAAACCATGTCCTGAAGTTAGTTCCACATCCAGTCACTGCATGTCCCATGATCTGTGAAGTGTGCCAACTTCAGGCCATGACTGAACTAACTGCTCAGGCTTTTAGCAGCTTCTTGAAATAAAATATGTTCCTACATTACTTTTTTTTGTCTTTTTTTGCCTTAATCCAGATTTTTTTCATCTTAATACTGATCGGGTTATAAAGTGTGGCAAAGGAAAAGTGGGGTTGACTTGAAGCGCATGCCTTCCATCAATTCTCAATCCTCCTGAAGCCTGGGAAAATGTGCAGTTTCGTCCCACTGACCATTACCCTCACCACAGCTAAGGCTACAAGTATTTCATGCACCATGTGTGATTCATGCCCTGTTCTTATCAAAAGGTGTTCAATGCTTGATGCACGTTTACAGAAACACTAAGTTATTTGGTTTTCCTAACATTTTTCAATACAAACAGTATTCATTTTCACTTTAATTTTAACAAACCAAATGCAACTAATGCAACATGCAACAAGGAAGAAGGCAGAAGTCACTGATGGGGTTTTGTCTGTGACTGACTTACCGTGGCTCCATTGCAGTACTGTTGAAAAGGACTCATGCCTGTGCTCCCGGCTGGCTGCTGACTGCTGGAATTTATTGCCAGAAGCTGGAATCTGTAAGGCTGAGGAGGCCCTGTGGACTCCGTGAGAGAAGGTTGTGGAGTATAAACAGCCATGCTGTCATTGGCGAAGGGGAGACCTGAGTTCTCATAGCAGCCCAGAGGGTACTCAACGGGCCAGTAAGAAGACTGGGGGACTCCAGGTCCAGAACTCTGCTCCAGTGTGTAAGGGTTATGCAAATTTGTGCAGGAACTGAAGCTTGGTAAATAGGATAAAGATGGGTCTGAAGCCATAAACATCCCAGGTGGCTGATGGGTTGGAAAGCCTTCTTGTGAAACAGCTGTGCAAGAGCTGGAGCTGGAAACCATGACTGGGGCAACAGGCGGGTAAATGGCCACACAAGGATTGGATGGTTTTTGCAACGCAGGCTGAATGCATCTGCCCAAAACATTAGCTGCAATGAAATCTGCAAAATAAAAAAAATAGGCACAACTAAACAACAGAATAGCAGCAACAGTAAAAGTCAGTAGAGGCCCATTCAACGCATTCAGCCTGTTTGGTAGTTAGTAACTAATTGATCCACGGACCCCATCTGGCAATTTCTTCAAGGACACCAGAGAATGTTCTTTGAAATGCCAGGATATCTTCTGCCATAGCCCCATAAGATTATGTTAGAGATTAGATTAACAGAGGGCATATTTTGTATACTCAAAGTGGAATTTAGCCAGGACCCTGAGGTTAACACCCCTACTATATGAAAATAAATTACTAGAATCTTCTATTCATTTAAAGAAAGAATATCTGTTCCTGTGATAACTGAAGGGTAATCCTAACCATAAGCAATTATTTCCTAACTGTATTCAGTATAATGTATTAATATAACACCATAATGTAAAAAATAAATCGCAGCAGCTTCCAAAACACAGGATGTCTAATTTACAACAGGTCTACGATGTGAATTCTCACATAAAAAAAAAATAATTGACCAAAGAAGCAGAGATATTTGTTTTGACATTATAAAATATGCAGAAAGAAGATGCTACATACTATCTATCAGGTCTTCATCAATCTGCTTTTCAGTGGCTAGGGCAGGCTCTGAAGTCTGATTCTTCTTCTTTATATATTTCCTGAAAGAAGAAAATTGGAAATGTAATAAGTTAAGAAAACTAAATTAATTCCATTTATTGTATTGTTCACCAGAAAATGTCAGGATGGAACAGATACCAGTAAGTTTCTAAGAACTACCTCAATCATTCTATGCAATTTAAAATTTTAAAGGATGACCTGTACTTGGAAATAGTGTAGTTTCAAGCAATTCAGAATGATCATGGTTAGGTCAAAAATTGTTAATCAGTCATACAAGAACAAGTATACAATAACGGGTATACTGGTAATACATTCCCTTAACAGTGCTCAATAAAATAAAACAAAAATGTGTTTTCCAGTACATAAATGTAATATTATAGTCCATGAATTGTTGAAACAAAAGAAAAAGTACCTTTTTGTGGGCAATTTCACTGGTTTATACCATTGCCTCATTATCTTTTCTTCCAGGGCTTTAATTACCTGAAACATGAAAAAGAAAAGTGAAATGTCTTTTTCCATTTGTTATCTAAATGCCACTGATCCCAGTCCATTGCAAGGGTTTAGTTTCTTTCTCACACATGTATCTTCAATTCTTTAGGTATTCATGTTTTCAAACTCCAGGAAAACCTTGAGTTGAGCGTATAGCCCTGACACGTTCTTCCCTTTATAAAGATTCACCATGGTAAATCAAAACGTAATAAAGCAAATTGAAAAATAAAACATGAATAAATATAGAACTAGGAACAAGTAATAGGTTTAGTCCATGCTGAAAAGAGAAGAAAGAAAAGAAGTTTCCTTTATTCTCTTTTCAGCATGGAATAAACCTATTACTTGTTCCTTTGCAGCCTACGCATTCTGACGCAGCTCCCCACCTAAATATAGACATAGATCATTTACAAATTATAAGGATCTATGGAACTCAAATGTATGGTAAAATCATGGCAAAACAACAGTCAAGCATTTAACGGCTGTGACAATGAAAGGAGTCAGACAAGTATCCATTTTGATTGTTATACTGTATGCTTGCCAGGCTGTTTAACCATGGAAACCTGTGTGTATTATGGTGCATTTTCAATAAGCTAAATATGTGCAATTCTGTTGTACACACAATGATCACATTCTCAGTCTATTAAATAAATACTCTGATTAAATGTTTCCATGAAATGATCCAGTCTGTCTAACACCTTAGTTAACTGCATAATTACATCACGAACTACAATGCAGGTCAATGATCAAAGGGTTACCACCTAGAGAAATAACTTGCTACCTTTGACAAAGTTTCTTCTGGCACCCGGCACTGAAGGTACTTAATGTACTTGACAGTCATTTCAAGGACAGAAGCCGTGTCAACCCGCTTCTTTGTCAAAAATGGCAGCAGGTCACGCAGATGGTTACAGCACTTTTTAATCTGTAACCTTTCCAAAGGGAGAACAAAGGCATTAATAGTTTTAGTCCCACAGTGATATCACTGAATAAAAAAAACACTGGCTATAATACATTAGAAAATAAAACCTGCAACACTAGCTAATAATAGTATATTAAATATGTCCAAATATTTCAACTTGTACATTAAAGACAGTCTTCAGCGGACAAAAAGGTAAATCAATAGTTTGATTTCAAAGGCCTTTTTTAGAATTTAGAGTTATCTATTGTATGTATACATCGATATAAATGTTTTGCATCATTTACAGATATTGAAAATGTAGCCTTGTCCAATCAAGATTTTATCTTTTTAATGCCATTCAAAGTCATATCCATTATAAAAATTGATTGACAGCATATTAAAAATTAAGATTTTTCTTTCGATTTCTTTGGCTCACATGAACAGGGGAGGACAATTCTCTAGGGTCCATTAGGTTGCCTGTGCCTAGCAACACTTGTATCATGTCCTGCTACATTAGGCCTTTACCTTCTTTTCTGTTCCTTCCTGGAATGAAGAAAAGCCTCATTTGTACAACTGGTCTTCTGAGATGATGAACTTGACAGAGACTGAGCTTCACCGGTATCAGGCTGGTCAGGGGGCTCTAAGCTTAACGCATCACTGGAAAGAAAAAACAAAGACTGAAACACCATTAACAGGTATTATGCTATTATTAAGGAACTGGCAGTCCTTACAAGGTTTCTTTTGTATAATTCAAATTTTGAGGCATTTATTTTTGCCTCCCCCAAAAATCTAAGTGGACACTATTTATTGCAAGACTGACCCAATACCAAAGGAGCTGCCAAAATTTAAACCTTGTCCATAATTTGAAAATCTTTAAATCAAATAATTAAAACAGTATTATAGTAGGATAAGGTTTTTCCATATATGCCCTGGGAAGGGTTCTCACTATAAGAGCAGTGGATGCTTGGTTCTCTGTGCCAATTAAACCTTAAGCTATAGTCTTAAAATCTTATACAGGTAGCACAACTGTGATGTACTGTATGAATTGGAAATGCAGATGAACTAATGTAAAATCCAAAAGTAAGCTCTTCATGTTAAATTCCTTTCAGAGCAGCCAGTAGTCACAAAGCAATGAGAATCATCTGAAATATTCTCTGAGGCACAACTCTGTGTGCTTCTAGGTGCTCTTTTAAAAAATAAAAGTGTGCAAGACTCAGCTGCTTGCAAGAAAGGATCATTTGAAAATAATTACATTTTAATTTCCTAAATACTGTATTAGGTCCACTTTTTCTTGTATTTTTATTAAAATCCACATAATGAAAACACCGCACAATGTTAGTTCTTACTTCAGAAAAAGGTGCTATGACTCCTCGTCAACTATCAGAGTATTAGAGGTTTACTGTGTGCAAGTAATTTAGGATTCTTCATAAAAGTCTAGCCCTTGATTGCACCTCTTTACTTCACTAATGTGCATCATCTTGCCTTAAACGCATACAGCAGATTGTAAATTTTCAGGTGGAGAATAATTAGTGCACATGATACAGTTAAAACAGTAAAGGGATAGGCCTTTTGGATTGGTCTTGTAAACAATTGCGGTTTTCAATATCTTTTCCGTCACGCACTAAATATGCTTTAAGTGTATTTCTCTCTTGAACGTTATAAATAGCTATTATAGCACTACTCTGATACTGTGCACTACAGACGATCACAATGACCTTCTGGTTAACTCTTTCTTCTGAAACACAATCACTGCTCAAGTTGATGTATTGTATTTTTATTTTTTCTGAGGTTTCCCCATAATGTTTTGTGCATGGCGTCTTTTGTTTCACTATGTTAATTTATTCAATCATATTCAAGAAGCATTTCACACCTTAGTAGACAATATTCTTAGTGTTAGTCTATTACATTACATTTTGTGTAGCTTTCCTTTTTAATGTTCAATTAATACAATGCTATTTCTCATGCTACAGTATTTTAAAGTCAAGAGTCAAGCTAGTCAAAACAAGACTGTAATCCAACACTGCTGAATTCGGCAGATAATGTTTTCTGTTTTGCCAAATTCCAGAAAGGAAAGAGTTAAAAAAGCCTGGTTTCTGACTAAATTAGTGACTACTTGGCTAAGTTCTCAGGTCAGTCAATTACACATTCTGTGCAGGCCAGGTATGCCAGGCTTTAAACAGAATCAGATTGTTCCCCTAGACAAAGCCATTAATCATAAATGAATTGCCTGTCCCTACAGCAAGCAGAGCCAAAACTTCAATTTTCTTATAGTGCTTTAAAAATGAGTGTGTCCAAGCAATAACCAGTGGCTCAATCAATATGCATAGAAAAAAGGGTTCGTAAGTTCCAACTGTTAAGTACAGTAACTCTAGCAAACAAAGGTAAAAAAAAATGCAATACTGGAAAAAACTGAAACTGTGTCATAAGAAAACTGAATGCAGCTTTCCTATCCCAGACATATGGAAGTTTCTTTACAAACATGGTTGGGATTTACAAAAGAGTATCATGTACCTGTACAGTACATAAGTATTATAAAAAAAAACTTAGTATGTCTGGTGGTAGACCCACACACAGCAAGCACAGCATTAAGTCACCTCTCCCATCAAATACCATAAATGATTGTTTCTTTAGCAGACAACAAAAATGATGAATTACAAAAATTAAAAACAAGCCTTTTTTGGATGGAGGGCCCTAAGTCCCACTGAGAGTTGGCAGGTTCCTGTTGTTTCTGTACAGCCCACACATCTGAACCTGGGTTTGGATTGGAGTTACTGTCTTTCTTGTCTGTTGGAGAGAGAACATGTTTTTGATCACACAACTTTGCTGAGGCAACCCCTCTATAATTCTGAACATTCAGTTATTATGTGCGACATTAAGAATTAAGAAGCCATAATACTTCAAGAAAGCCTTTAATGTTTCCATGAAATGAGTCCATGAAAACCATGCACTGTACATACTGTATATACAGTACACTGTATATCTCAGCAAATATGTGAAATCCCTTATTAAATATTGAGGGATACTATCATGGAGTTGTGATCTTACTGTAACATACACTTATACAAAGAATCTGCATATACAAAGAATATTTGGCTTATTGAGTCTGTTATACAGTATACTTCTACCAATTAAGGTGAAAATGGTAGTAAAATGAGTAAACGTTCTGTAAGAACACAAATTTCCACACCGTGATGTGAATTATGAATAAAAACATAAAGGTTACAAATGAAAGAAGGTTATTTGACTATCTTGTACATTTAGTAATTAGTAGTTAATTGCTCCAAGTATCTCAGCAGTTTCTTGAAGGAAAGTATATTGGACTCAACAACATGGTTGGGAAGCTTGTTCCATACTGCTGCTACCCTTGGGTTAAAGAAGTGCCCCCTGTTCTCGCTTTTAAATGCTCTTCCCCATAGTTTTCACTTGTTCCCTCTGCTATGTGTTTCACAGTAAAGGTTCTTCCAAGATTCTAGTGTTTGGAAGCAGCACCAATTTTTAAAAGTTAAGTGTAATAACAACTGCAAGTCATTCAGAAGTCATTTTGCTTCTTGTTTCAAAACCATTGTGCTCAGGGAACAACACTGCAGGATGGTTACATTAATACTTACTTCTCTGACACATGAAGTCACATCCTTTAAGAACCATCTCTATATTATGCAGTGTCAATGGCTTGGTGAAGATAAAGTCTGCAACACTGCCTATGAGGTCCTTTTCTGGAAAAGAGCTCAGTTATACAGTAGCTTGTCATCTTATCAACGAGGTTCAGAAAAAACATTACTCAATGCATACCTACCAAAGTGTATCTCTGGAATAATTACAATACAGATTACTTTCTCTGACCTCTTACTTTGGTTGTTCCTATTGGAAACAAGAAACAAGAAGCACTTTGATTCCTTCCTATTTTAATCACACTGTATTCTTTTTCTCATTTTTTATAATTAACACTGTATTAAAATAATGAGATTATAAAAGTACTTATTTAAAAAGTTTGCAAAGCTTCAGATTTTGACACCAATCCAAATGTGTAAGAAAAAAAAAAACATTTCTAGGGAAGTGGTGGACTATTAGTGTTTATTTTGGGCATTTATACACCACAGTTCATCACATGGAACCTCCTTAATTTAGACCCAAAACCGATGTATTCTCAAATGCTTTACTGTATTTCTTCATTTATTTCCATCCCGATCTTGTTAACTGAAAACTGTTGAAAACTGTGACCCATCTGAACCTTCTCTATAGCATATGGTACCTCAAGGCATGACAGCATTGGTTTATACATCTGGTGATGCTTCAGATTAATAATTAAAAGATATCAGATTCATGCTGTCAGCGACAGCGTGAAAATAATATGAACCAACAAGGAAGTGAAAAAAATAGGCTGCATAATCAAAGCGAGACATACATGTATATTAGTTTTTATGTCAAATGTGAAGTACAGCTGGCTGATGTTTCTTTTAAATGTTTTAACGGGTGAATTTATAGCACATGCACTTGTTAGTTTGAGTAACATATGGCTCCAATCTACTTCCCTCACACATATTCATTTTCTTATTTTGTACAGGATCTTTTTTTTACCTAATAACCTGGAGACTTTTCAGATCCGACAGAGGCTGTGTCGAGCTCAGGTGCACGAACATGAAGTGGAAGCTGTAAATATCTAGGAGTGCTGTGGCAGTCTGCAGCGGGCTCTTCATGATAGTAGCACTGCCAAACCTCAGAAGGGTGTCCTGAAGAAGAGCAGTAGTCACGTCAACTGCATCTTCATCACCAATCAGCAAGGCGCTGAAATCTTTCTGGAAGAGATTTCATATATAAATTTCATATCTTAAAGATCTCAAAACAGGACATTCATCCAATGTTTGGCCAATAGGGTGTACATATGGTGCTAATGATCATATAAACCCCTGCTGTCCAGTACAAATATCAAGTCACACAGAATTTGAAGGGTAATTCATTTGGTCATTAATTTGGACATCAGAAAGGCAGTCACACATGGGATAAAAAGTATTCAAATAAGGCAGGTGTTTGAGGCTGCTGAATTATTCAGCATTTCAGAGGATACATCCAACTTGGATCATCGTAAAATTTATCACATTAAATTGTTTTGTTTTTTTCCCCCTGTCAAACCACTTTCTGCCTCCCTCTGGATTAGAATTTTCCAAAATCAAATGTCCCAGTATGGTGACCTGGCACTTTGTTCTGTAAGAAGTGCTGTCCTTCAGATGAGATGCTGAACTAAAGTCCCAATTATCTGGCCATTAAAAGGTCCTATGGCATTGTTTTTAAGAGTAGGGATGATATCCCAAGTACCTTATTGGGTAAGCCTAATCCTACAGCTGTTAATTTTTTACTGTGAATCAGATCACCACCAGTTAAGATGAGGTAGAGAACCCTCTACTTCACTGGGGAATAAAGGATATTCTTTTGGATAAGAGTTTGGGATCCATTGGAATGGGAAAAAAAACCCAATATAAAAAACACTAAACAAATAGTTTAAAGGGTTGAGTAACATAGCCCATCCTCTATTCCGGCTGCATAGAAAGTTTGACAGGTCCCCAGTTTTCAAACTGCACTTTTTTGTTAATACAGGGATTCTCTCAACAAGTACTGTCGTGGGTAGTGATTACTTCACAACAAAGATTACATCTGACATGGCTGTTACTGGTGGTGAAACATTACAGAAGTTCGCACCAAAGTGCCGTTGCCGGTTAACAGTCTAGGACGGCTAAGGAAACGGCAACTCTTAAGATAAAAAATATCGGATGGGTTGCATGACGAGCATTAAGCACAGTACTGTGAGAGGAGAGGTTAACCAAATGCCCTTCACACTATCCACCAAATCAATCGGTCTCGCAGACCCACAAAATGACAACACGCCATACATCAGTGTAGCTGAATGGGGGAAATACAATAACTATTACAAGTGCTTGGTTTAAAACACTGTGCGTCCATTTCCATGCTTTCTACAGTATACCTCAGCAATTTATATTTGCATTTTCAGATAAACTTTAACACATTCCAGTAACTTCTGCATGTTAAGCTCATACGAATATATATATACACACATTCCAGTAAGGTATTTGTCGCCCTCCCGATAAAACAACGCTGTAATGCTGAAGCTACTGTTAATTTGACGTAAAGTGCTGCAAACAATACTGTAATACAATTGTTACAGGTTTACTTAGCTTAGACATAACCAACTCAAAATTATTTATTTGGTGTTTAACCGGAATGAAGTTATAATAACACACTATTTACCGTTTATTTTCAAGCTAAACTTGACAACACTATAAAGTTGAATTGCAAGGATTTAGCGGTTTTGCCCTCAAAACACTAGAAAGAATAACGTTTTCCTCAGCATCTGTGATTACAGACCACAGCAACTCTGTTGAAATTTACATAACAGAAAGCAAATCTTTCACCGCATATCAAATGCACGGCACCCTATAAAAAAAGAAAAACAGCCTTAAATTAAAAAGTGCTTAATTAAATCGGATGGAAGGAAAACACGTGAAAAGTCAGCAACTCCTCCTGGCCTTACTTTGTTAGAAGGATCGTGTTCTAACTCGCGTGCCGAAGACATTTTGACGCGTGGAAATGCAGATGCAAGTGTAGAAAAGAATCTTTGCACGACAGAGAAATTTTTATTAATCAGTTTTTGTGTCAATTCCGAATGACATAATTGGAAAACGCCTTGTGCAACACAATTCTCAGCTGGAAACTGTCGTGTCATAATTGTTTTCTGCAGCGACATAATTAGTAGTTTGAGACTGATTTTTGTAGACATAAAAGAAGCATGCTCTAAAATATCTTATAAACCTGTAAAGTTGCAGTCACACCATACACAGAACTGTTGGTTTATTAACCTGGAAGGTCAAAGACTTAATTATGTATTGTTTAATTTCAAGAATGACTTTTTACTTCAACAGCTCACTATTTTCTGTATAAATGTATTATTCTAAATGAAAGCAACCAATATAAGTATTTTATTTGTTCCATTACTTCTTATTTTAACTATCAAGTGTAAGTGTACTAACTATATTTAATTGCCTTGGCTTGGATCAAAAAATGTGACAACCCTGAATTTTCAGGAGAGGCAATTTATTCAAATGTTGCTGTGAAATTAACTAAAAACCCTTTAATACTGTGAGAAGGCATTCTGCACCTGTTTGGACAGTTATATCTTATTCAGCTTACGGGACTGTAATTTGGGATGTTTGTTTTGGGATTTTTTGTTTGTGTTGGAATTGTGGAGTTCTATAGTTTAAAAAAATGGGGAGCTCTTGAGGTTGGTTAGAGAGAGGAAACATGGTAGGAGGGATGGAGAGTGAATGAAGCCTGTTATACCCTCTATTTGGATGTTGTTGTATTTATGTTGCTATTGATATAAATCCAACAAAATGCAAATCTAGATTGAGAAGAAATAAAATGTGTTACTCAAACCCAATATATCATGGGATTCAGTCATCACGGTATTTTCAGATATGAAGTTTCAAAAGCTGAACCTAGAACTATCTATAACCTTGTCCTAGATGCCCCATCGGAGCAAATTGCACAAATGCTCAAGTCTGGAAAGTAAGGTACTGTAGCTACTCTATCAGTTTCACTTTCCCACTTGCAAGTAAGCTGTTGTTAAAAAGGCATCATGTGTACACGTGTTGACCTGTTGGAACATCAAAATGAGCGCACAAGAACAGCATGGGAGGTCCCAGGACTTCAGTGTTAAGTTGATTATGTAGTCAGGCTAGTCAAGAGACTAGTCAATCCAGCCCTGACCATCACACTAGTGCATACTGTAGGTCTGTTGAATACACAATTAGCATATCAGTGTGTACATTTGCACCACATTTGCTAGTGTCTATAAAGATAGTGTACACGAAATCTTTATTCATTGATGAAGAGGATTTTTCTCTACTACTGGAGAATCAGAATGAGATGTTGCTCCGGTCTGCATATGACACAAAGGCATTGTTATCTTGACATGCAGGGCATATTGTTCACTTGAAGTGTTTTTGTTTCCTGATTTTCACCAGGCTAAACATTCAACTGGATAACTCACCTCATCACCTGTCCCCAATCAACTCGATCACTAATGAGGTGATATTACAGTCAAGACATACTCCAAGGTTTTGTCACATCAATATGAAGCAAAAATATTTCATATCCAAAGCATATATACTTTATTTTTCTTAAAACATACACAAATAAAACGTTTTGTTTCAATTCATATATACATATTTAAGTCAATAAGTTAATTTGTGAATTATCCACTATCTAGTGTATGCTTCACAGAGGGGGGAGGCTGTTTGAGTTTTCAACACAGACATCCACTTACAGCTAATGCTACTGCTTGTGGACTTGGTTGTCATCACTGAAGTTCTGAAATTGGAGGCCCTCAACTGAAAAAGTGCCAACAGGCTTGGGTGGGTTTGAGTCAGCCAGTGTCCCATGAGTTAGCACTGCGACAGTGACCCCTGTGACTTTCCGGACATCTGCAGTTTCCAATGTTAATAGTGAGAGCTGCGTCAGTCTGCTCTCTCCTGTGACATGGTTGCAGTGTCAAAAAAGATGCCTGAAAGTGCCTAAGAGGACAGACACTAAATCCCTCAATCTTCTCTATGCAATACAAACATTGTAGATGTGGTAACAAAAAGAAAAAAAAAAGATGGGTAATTATGATTACTACAACCCAATGATGTTAATGAATCAGAGAAAAAAATATAGTCTCTTCATTAAGGAAATAACAGCGTAAAGAAATACATCTTTTATACAAATGCAGAAAATAATTCTAACATATCTGACTAACTTGCCCTGTCCTGTTGTGCATAAGAACTGTTTTTTTTTAATCAGCGTTTTATCTTTGGTAGTCGACTTATGGTGGCCGTCTTCCTTATGGGTCCTCTCTCGGAATCTTTGTTTGTGCTCAGCAAGTTGTAGCTGCCTCTGCATAAAAA